CGCGGCCCTTCCGCCCTCACTGCCATTTAAAGGGGCCGCCGCCCCCCCCAGGGCCCGGGCCCTGCCTGGGGTGAAGCGGGTGGGTTTGGTGCCAGGAGCAGCATTTCGGCAGGGACAGGAGCGTCCCCAGGGTGCCAGGGCTGCTCGAGCGCGCACGGTAAGCTCCTCCCCTCGGGGCAAGCACTACGTTACATTACACACCAGCTATGTCAACCCTTGCAAGGGAAGGGCGTTTCAGGAGGGGAGAGGGCAGAGCTGCCCAGGGACAAAGGGGAGGCTACCAGGAGTCAGACGGAACATGCAACGCGGGGGTAGCGATTACCAGGAACGGGCAGGAGCAGGAGCACACCAACACCGTGGAGGAGAGCAGCCTCCCAGGCTAATCCCCACCAGGGAGCTGACCTGCTTCAGGGAAACAGGCCTGTTTCAGGACTGGGAGAAGAGTAGGCTCTGTTTAAATGGCTTGCTCTTCCTGGGACCAACTCCTCTCCAAGCCAGACCCTGGGCAATAAGACAAATTGCAAACCTCTTACTTGCAGCCCTGAACTGTCATCTTCCTCAGTCTAAATGCAGAGTAGACAAGGAAAGGAGCAGGAGAATGAGACAGGCTGCAAGGAAGAGAAGCTGTCCAGGAGCAGAACAGCTGAGCCGGCCCAGGTTTCAGACCTGACTAGCTTCTCATTTTCCAGGGGGTGGCACTGTAAAACTGTTCCTTTTTTGCCGGTCTAAGGTGGGACAGACACAGGAACTATCCCAAAAGTCACCTTCACCACACAGGTAACCTGGGCTCCGGCTCAGCAGGTGCCCCGGCTCCTCCACACACAAACCTCCCCCCTCCAACCTAGCAGCACCCTAAAGACCAGTCACCCAGCCCTGCTCAGACCAAAGTCCACATGTCTCACAGCAAAGCAGCAGGCATCATCTTTCAGTGACCAATCTTCATCTGCCAGTACCTTCCCGCATTGGACAGACATGCTTTTCCAGCTCAGAATCAGAGGTGTTTCAAAGCAAGGGCAACACACACGTGGCCCCACCTCCTGGCAGTGCTGCAGGACAGGAACAGCAGAAAGGACTACCCTTTTCAGTAGCTGCCCACCTCCAAGCTAGCCTAACCATAGCTAATGCCACAGCAGATACTCAGTGCTCTTACATAGGGTGCTTCTATCCCATCACCAGGACACTGTTCTCTGCTGCAAGCTGCTGAAAAGCCTCCAACCCATTCTATTTGCAACCTGATTCAGACGCGAGCATTAAGCCAAGGTGTGGCAGACAAGTGCTGGCTCATCTCTCAGCACAGGTTGATTCAGTTTGTTACTAGGCAGAGATGCATTTCAAACGGACCTAATCATCTACGCTAACCTGGAAAAGCTGGTTCTGTGCAAAAGGTGTCATCAGTTTCCAAAGACCTTATAAAGACAAATTTGAAACAAGCAGGGCAGCAACTGACTTTAAAGGCATGGCTTTGTACTTAAGCCATTGTCCAGGGTATAGTTCATGGAGCAATAAATTAGAAAACAAACCTCAACTAGAAAGTCAAAGCAATCACACTACATCGAAGCAGAGCGTGAACTGATAGAAAATTAGACTTCTGCAAAGAGAACGTAAAAAGACTAGCTTCCAGTTTGGCATGGAAGCACTGTGTACTTTGCGCTCATGTAAATAACTAAACAAGGAGCAGAACCAAAAAGGATTGACAACAAGTGAAACTGCTACGATCCGGACAAACTTGTAACTACCAAGACACCCAAACAAACAAAACCAAAAAGCCTAATCAAGGTTCTTCCAAGAGCAACTCATTGATTTCCATTGTCACACTGATAAATCCTAACAGAGCCTGAATTTCAAGCAGCACTGAGTAATACCACTTTACAAGACTTTTTGTCCCGTTCCCCCCCACCCCCCAGCTAAACTTAAAACAATTAGTGGGCTACACATTCCTGAAGAGTTAAGCCCAATTAACAATGATTCTTGACAGCAAAGAGGAACTAACAGGCATTGAGGCAGGTCCAGCAGTACATTGAATCCCTAGGGCAATGCTGCTTGGATAAGGGTGCATTCAAAATAGCTGCAAAACTAAGTTCAAATCTTTGAAAAACAAGCTCATTCTGCAGTCCGTTCTCCACCCATCAGAGGAAGCGGCTGCAATCGGCTGGCTGCAGTCCAGTTACAGTTCATCTCCTCTTGACAGCTGTCATTTTGTGGAGTTGCAGCACCAATGACACCATATCCAACCAAGATGCATTTTCACTCCCGAGCAAAGAGCAGCTGGACAGTTACCTGAGCTAACATTTGGAGACACGCTTTCAAGCCTGATTTGTTGGTTTTGACACTGGGGCTTGCCTCAGGATCAACACACAGTTATGTTGCTTCCTGCTTGCCTTTGAGCCAGTGACTAATTTCAATATATAGTGCCCATTTATCACATTGGAATGGTTCACTTCTCATGAATCTAACCCCACATTTAAATACGAGACAAATACTGAAGTGGTATTCCAGAAGACCCCAGGCCAAATAGTGTTATGGGCACTCCAAGCACAGGGTTCAAACCTACACAGTAAGACCATTGTAAACCCACGTGTTTTCCCTATCTTGTGGTAGTCTCAGCTGTTAGAGACAATCCCAAAGGAGGAGTTACACAGTGGAAAGTTTTCTTAACTAGAACATGGACTTGAGGAGATGAGAGCGCACTGTCTTACTGTATCAAGATAAAAGAGAAATTAAGAATGTGACTCTTCAGTAGACACTAATAGATCATTTCACCAGCAAAATTACCTCTATTTCAAAGGTGGGGAAAATGTAAAAACACATGAGGGGCATTTTCCTGGAAGCGAACAAATTCTTCCATTAGGTATCTATATGTGCCCCTTGTAGCTTGTAAGAATGCAATTTTAAGCTGCCTTGAAGATCCAAGGTCAGATGAACAGCAGCATTCAACGAAAGCCCATCACCGATATCAACATGCAAACGACCCAAGGCGTACAGACCCACCTGCAGTTCTGATGACATGCAGGCCAATACATTTAGGAGACTCGATGCAAGTCTCACCAAGTCAAATCCAATCCAGGTTATAGCAAACAAAAGCTGCGATGGCTCCTCAGTCTCTGTGAAGTGGATTTGACAATGCCGTTCCCGACCTTTCATCAGCACAACTTATGAATCTCTTATGAATAAGCTAAAAGTTGGGTGGGCATGAAGAATTACTGACTTAAATCCATGGCTAGTAGCTTAACAGTCCATTGAGGCACAGCATAAGCCTGTATACTGATGTTAGGAGGACATGATTTTCAGGGCTGCCAATTGATTTCTCATGAAAACCGAAATTCAGAAGGAACTTTTTTGTAAAAAGAAAACAAAAATGGAGACAGGCTTGTGTTTCTAATCCAAATGTACTTCTCTTTATTCAAACCAGGGGTAATCACTGGTTAGTGCAAAATGCACCTAAACCTTTTGCCTGAGGGAAATCTACATCTTAACAAGGCCTCCGTTAACCCCTAACGAAATCCACAGAGGATTTTAAAGAGTTTGAAGCACAGATCTAACGCTGCACTTCATAAGTGACTCTGTGCGTCAACAAGTCTGCACCTGCCTTGTTACCAGTTCTACACCATCAGGTAACAAAAGCAAAATACACTCAGTAGATTTCTTTTAACTCCCAGAGTTTCTGAACCATCCGCCCCACCACTAACGTCAGGAGCAAGGGGGTTGCAACTTACCCTCACTTCCAACAGTGCTAACGGAAACCCTGTTTTAAATTAAAAAATAAGCCAGCATACATAGTAGAAAATTTCTCTTAAAAATTTCACAATCTGTAAAGGTATATATTTTTTCTTTAAACATAAAAGTTTACAATATACGGTAAAACAAAGGCTCAGGAAAAATAATTTCAAAAAAAAGAAACCTGAAGTTTTGAATTAAAGCTGAAGACATTTTTAAAACCCTGTAGTTTGAACCAGTGACATTTTCTTTATTTGTGCTGATGGGTTAGAGAAAGGAAAATATTTAAAAACTGCAGTCCAAACACCCACAGCTTTGCCTTCAGAAGCCATCTCCCCCACCCCCCAAAAAATGTTGTTAGGTTTTTCTTCCATCAAGTATGTGATTGTCACAAGTTCAGAAGTCTGGGATTCCTGGGTTCAGCTGGTGCCAGATATCCCCATGTGGACAGAATTCCCTGATTGCCAGCACATGCTAGCGCCTGTAGGGGTGAAATCCTTGCACATTATGGTTCTGTCCTCGTCCAAAACCACTTCCTCCTGCAGGTGGGCCACTTGATGGTTGCACCGAGGGGCCTCCATAGGGAGGGGGTTGCTGGCTGGGATCAGAGAAACCTTGTCCAAAACCACTCAAGTCTTGTCCATATCCTGGGGAGAAGGGGAAAAAGGCAGCAGAGTAAGCTTCCATTATCATCTACACGCACGCACACACGCACACACACGCACCAGCAGAGGCGCAAATTCAAAACCCGATGCCACTCCCTCCCTGCCATGCACAGCCTTCGGACAAAACCCACAAACACCTTGGACTAACATATTGAGATAAGCAGCTGCTTTCAGTTCTTGCAGTTATCTGCATTCACGTGTAGAAGAAACAGGTAATAAGCAGAAGTACTGAACAGGTATAAAGAATGGTAGTTTTCACTTTTGATAAAATCTTACCCAGGCTGGTAGCTAAGCTATCACATTACAGCTGTTCAGATGCTTAAAGTGGTTTGCTGGTTATCTGTCAATAGCAGGCTTTTTTTGCTAAAAACTAGCACTGTCAGTTTCAGCAGAGATGAAGATGTTACACAGATGTTTTTTCTGAAAGTCTCAGAGCTACCTCAGACTAACTGAACAGAGTTATGAGACTCTGACTTTCTGCTGTCAATTTCACCATCTTCCCTGGGAAGCCTAAAACTTCCTTTACTGAAGGGACACACCGGAGAAGGCATTCTTAAACTCCTTTTAAGGAACTACTGCTTCCTGAATATATATTTTAATTAACTAATCAGCCTCTCTTTCAAGAAAGGCTCAATTCCCAAAATCTGAACTGGAATACAATGGGCGTAAAATCGACAGAGCAGAATCCAGGAGGTGGCGAATACTGTACCAATTATACACTTTATAATGGAACCTTTGATCCAAAGTTGTCATTAAAAAGAACCAACGTTCTTCCCCTGAAACTTATTACACGGAACAGGCTGAAGTGTATTTGTGGCAAGTTCAAAGAAGCTCCATGTCAAAACTTGACCCGGCTACTGCTAACTGTGGAACGTGGCCAATACTTCTAACCTAGCAAAAGATAAGCAGCAATAAATAAGCAACTATACTGCCATTCTCCCAAACGTCCGCTACCGTGACAAACTGCATCAGGTTTCTGTCAGTTTTAAATCTGAAAGGGAACAGTGTCTCAAAGTTTATGCTAATGCACGCTGTAGATCAACAATTCTCTCATTTTTCCTCCCTCTACAGAATCAGAAGACTTCTACTCTCCTGCCACACTCTCCTTCTGCCTATTCAGTGAGGCTGTGACTATCATTCTGCAACACAATCCATATCAAAGATCAGATTCAGAATAGGTTTGCAGTAACATTCGGGGGATAGGGAGAAAGGGTGAAGATGAAAGACTTAGCTGGAACTCTTGCTGCCGATAACGAAAGACTAGATGTGCGTTAAGAACACTGAGAAATTAAGAAATTTAATAAAAATATCTTTAATTAAATACAACTCAATCATAATAGTGGCATCAGTGCAGGCTGCTTCTGTAAAAGATGGTATTAAGAATCCTAATTACTAAGTACATTTCTGCAATTCTGCTTCTCTCTGTGCAGGCTTAAGCAGGTTTAACTCTCTTAATCCAAAACAAAGTCTCTTAACATGTCTTCAGTATTTCAATTTCAAGCTCTGCCTGTCTCTCAGGACTTGCTACCGCTAATGAGCCTTAAAGCACATCTATCACAGGCTTCTTCTATTAGCTCAAAATGCTAATCCAGTCGTTTTTTCATACAAAGATAAGGAAGCAACCAAAAATACAATTTAATTGTATAGCAAGGGGTGGGGCTCGGAGTGACGAGAAAAATCAAGTTATCCTCACCGTACACTGTAGTGCTATGGCACAGAGCGGTAGAAAACGGCGCTCTCGCTTTGCTTATCACAAAGGAAGCCTACAGCATAAATCCGTACAAGTACAGATTTAAGTACGTATTCTCTTGCTCTGCTTTCATGATTCCTCTTACAGCTCTTACATTGCACCAGCACTTCCCACAGTGAAGCATAGTTCCCCTGCTGTCACAGAGCACTCTACTTTCTAAATAAGCTGTGCCGACCATTGCAGTTACCCTTTATTGCCTACAGAAACTGAATTCAGTTTGATTACACAAGATAAAACCTTGCCAATGCAACAACTTAGGAAGTAAACAGCAGCATTTATATTTTAGTCAAAAGTTTTCACTTCAGCCAGCTAACGAATATATAGAACTATATTGCCCTTACTGGCAAAAGTAAACATTTTTGAGCCACATTACTTCCCCCCACCCTCTTAAAAGAAGAGACCCTGCAAGAAACACAAGTTAATTTCCCAAATGCAGATATATTAAGAGCATTGGTTGTAAATAGGCACCACCTACCTAGATCTCTCACTGCTCAGCCTGACCATAAGAGTGTAAACAAAGTATTGGCGCGTAGCCTGAAGGGTCTTGAGAATAGGTACCCAGCCCTAGTAAGAAATGAGGAGACCAGGGTGACGAACCCCAAGAGAGCCCTGTACAGAGATAATTTTTTAGGGTGAGGGAGACACACCCATGTTAGTGTTTAGTTTACTAGTGTTTACATTCATCCTAGCTGTAAACATAGCAGCATTTAAGATGCTGTCAAGCCAGGACAAATCTGAAAATGCCACAACGATTAGATACCTCAGTGCCTTTTTAAAGTCTAAGTTTTATGCATTTATGTAAATACATGCAGATGAGCTAGACTGCCTTTTGTACAGCAATGCTGCTAACTAATTTGCAAACACATGAAGTGCTGAAGCTCTTAAAGTTTAAAAGATTTTACATGTAGCTTTATAAACAGGTTGACAATTCTGTTGCAATATAGAATATTAAATACCCCTATCCCTGTTAGCACTCTTGTTCATAAGCAGTTTTCAGGCTAGGAAAGCACTCCTGAAGTGAGAGAGTGACTCCACTTAACAGTATTAACAACTAACCTTCTAAATCTCCTCCCTCAAAATGCAGTACTACATACCTCTTCCTCCCTCCCCCCTCCCTCCCCACCCACTACTAAGAGTGTAACTAAAAACACTTGAAATATTTCACTGGGAAATACGGTTTCTAGAATATGCAAAAGGCAAGTGGTACTACACACGCCATATACTGGAACCCAACAATTTTTTATGGTGTCGGAAAACAGATCCTTTTTAAACTTCAATCACATCCAGAATCTTGGCTACCTGCTGAATATAAGCATTTGTGTACGGGTTCGTATTTTACTTATAGGATCCACCCTCCTTCAAAAAAAAGTCTGCAAAGAGACATGTTCTGGCAAAACAAGAAAAACTTCCTCTCGAGTCACAATGGTAAAACTTTCTATGACAGCAACTGTGTTTATGACATAACCAAATTTAAAAACATTTCAAATCCATCAACATAAGAACATATGCTTGCTTTATAAATACATCTGAAAGGCTAATTCTTTAAAAGTCTTCTATTTTGTGTTTTTGGAACTATGAATAACATCTATTCAAATAACTTTATGAAGATGAAGTGTTCATTTCATAACGGTTTCTGCAGGCACTTTAAATGAAACAAAAAGGCATGCACTAACATAACTGGAGAACTCATTCAAGTGCAGGAACAGTAGAGTCTTAAACCATGGGCCTACTGCATGCTGGAAGTTGATTTCAGAAGTATAAACAATGCCTTCAAAAAAGGGAGTATACCACACACAGCTATTTGGATAACACTGCTCAAAAAAGGAGCGGGTGGAAGAGCAAGATGAGAACTCCCTCCCAGTTTTCATAGAGAGGAA